ATGAAGTCTGTATCCGTAATTCCTATGCTTTATAATTTACTATTTTAGTTTGCTACATAATTAAATCTCAGTTATTTTGAATTTATCAGAAAAAGCTTATTAGAAATTTTTAATGAAATTGAAATTGAATTTATTAGAAAAGCTTTAATAGAAAAAAGCTGTTCCTTATGGCAAAATGGTATTTTAAAATTAAAAAAATAAAGCACTGCTATTGAAGTAAACGTTTTGTAGACCAGCGTTTCGAAATTCTGAGTTGTGACCCGGCACTGGGTAACGAAAGCAAAATGCCGGCTCGCAGATAAGTTAAACGAGATTATTAATCTTACGTATTATAACAACAAGATACTGTATTATAGTTTCTCAATATACGACACAGAGATTTAGTAATTCGATGTCTTTATAGATGACACATGATACTGAAACTTTCGCTCGTTAATTTATTTCTTAATCTAATTCCTATTTTAATGGTATCTGCGGCGCCGTCATAACTTGATCAGGCTTTACTACAGTACAGCAGAAAATGCAACCAATGTTATTGTATGAGAGCGACGACACTGAGTCTAGACTAGAAAAGGAAAATATTGCTAGGATTTACTGCCGTTTTCCAGTCAACTTTAGGCGGCAACAGCATTATTCGCGCTCTCAGCCGTTATTTGGTAATTATTAGTTGAGATTAATGCATTTTGTTTGCTTATTTACTAGTTACTATTAATTATAATATTATATCACAATCGATAAACAATCAAATAATGTCCAAATAAGATCAGTTCTGCCAGGAAAGAGTTCCGCAGATGGCGCTGCCCATTACACACACACACACAAAAAAAAAAAAGTAAGCACCCCAGATTCGGCAGTATTCACACGATTATATCAAATTCCATTTTCTAAAAGGTGCTGATGAAAAATCATTGCGTATTATTTGTTACACGGCTTATGGCTTTATCAAATGGGTCCATGAGATAGATCTTCAACGTTAAAGAGGCACTTGGAATTAAAATATCCGAACTACAATAAAGTACGATAAATATCTTTATAAATAAGAAGGAAGAATTAATAACAAGCAAACAAACTGCGTCTTTGAATTTTTCCCATGGGGGGCTTCGTAGGAAAATCTAGTTATACCTTCTTAGGAAGTATCCCAATTAATTGCCGAAACCGGATATTCTCATACAGTTGAAGAAAAGTTAATAATTCTTGCAATGAAAATGTTGGCATCTCGTATATGTGATTAAAAAAAGCAAAACCAAAAAAATGTTGTCTGCTTAATACGGTGAAGCGAAGAATTGTGCAAATGGCAGATAATATCATAGTTAGATTAAAATAGTGCAACATTATTTTTTTCTCTATAAGTCGATGAAAGTGCAGACATTCTGCATAATGTCAGTTTAATGTGCTTTCCCAAGTAGCACACGACTTTTTGCAAAGTGGTCGTGGTAACTTCTACGACGTCTTTACTACGTTGCGAAGACGCAAAATATTTGCCGTCGCATTTTGGCAATTTGTCGACGTCGCTAAAACGTCATGATATGACCGCTTTTAGACGTGGTCGTTTTAGCATTTTTTCCATAGTTCATCAACGTTACTTTTAGAATGAAAAGAGACTAAATCTGCCGTTTCAAGAATCTGAAGTTCGCATAAGATTTACCTTGCAATGTTTCATTACTTTATTTCATCTAAATATAAGAATTTAAGGTAGATTCATCTAATGAAATATAAATTTAATATATACTTTTGATTTATAAATTAATTAGTACCAAAAATACGTGCTAAATTATTGTTTAAAATTTTGTAAAATAAGAACATAAAATATTTTTCTATAAATATAGCAAAATATTTAAAAATGAAACTAATCTATAAAGTATGTTATTAAGTTATGCATTTTATATATTTAAAAAAAATCATATTTCCGAAATCAATGCGAATCGCATGTTAGCAATTATTTCATTACTGAAGTATGACTTTCGTTATTATTTTTGAAGTAAGGACGAATCTATTTGAATTACTATGGTAACATAGTATGAAACATTTTACTGCATACAGTGCAAAAAGTACATTTTTTGCGAAGATATGATCGTGCGTGAAGATGTATTCATGGATAAAAATGGGGCAATTTTAAGAATTCCGAGAAAACGTCCAATGTTAAAAGACGATGCATATCCATGCATATTTAACGGCTGCCAATACATATGACGGAAACTCACCGACAGTCGAGAAGCAAACGGAAAAATTAATGGAAAAAGAGAAAGAAATATTAACACTTTCATGAAAACACAAAATTAATGGATTTGATAAATTACTAATAAATGTTGACATAAAAATTAGAGAAACTGTGAACAAAAATACAAAATTCATTACCTATAAAAATTCTGATGAACTGTTTGTTATGTTTTTATGTTTTTGTCCATCTCCATGCATTCAAAAATGCTTGCTTTAATCCTATACGGTACACTCGGGATTTGGCGACATTGACATTACATATATATGTTTTAGCGAGCCCGATAAATATTGTTTTGTAAATATAATCTTGAGAATATTGTTCGTAATTCTGCTCAGTAGAAATAATTCTTCTAGGTCATTTAAAAAAATTCTATTAAATTATCAGGAGAACCGTCGAAAGGTTTAATTCAGTCGTATAAATCGCTGAACGTTACACTGCATTGTTCTTCACCCGATGACATTCCACGTACATTATTTACTGGGTGCTTATATAAACCAACATCTCGAGGTTTTGCGCGCTTTGTCTAGCTGCCAAATTCGAAGTTGTTAATTGCTCAATTACTTGAGATTCCAGTAGTTCTTTCAAGTAATTTGGTAAAGATGCCATCTGTAAGGCATTTGAAAGATGACTTCATGTTGAAATGAATCAACAATGACTGATATAAAAATATTGCTACATTAAAATAATGTAATGCACTTCAATCAAAGAACGCATGTGAATTTTCATTGTTCTGTCCCTATCTACTTACTTCAATCCTTCAGCGAGTGAAGTTCCATTGCTGTGAGCTCATTTGGAAGCCTCTGAATTGAGGAGAAATATCGTGGAATGCTGGAATTGTGATTTTGTTTGTGAATATCTGCTCTACAAGAAATACTACAATGCTAATTGTGAATATAGTGTTCGTGAAAAGTGTTGTATTTTGGTGTTTTATGTGTTTCCGGTGATTAAAAAGTTATATGGTGGTGTTCTCCAATCTCTGTGGCTCCAGCGGTGCAATATTTGGATACACTGATTAGCTTTCTGCTTCGATTTCTGCCTAAGTGCTACATCGTATATCAATCATATTAATCTATTATTTTGTTCATATTGAAAGGTTGGTTCTCAGAATTTATTGATATAAAACCAAAAATAACATACAATGATAAGGCATTTTCTGGTTTTGCTGAAATTACAATCAATGCAGAAGCAACAACAATTCAAGCTGTTATGGTATATTCATTATTTTCAAAATACAAAGAAATTATTGGACTGGTACCCTTAATCGCTTGGCCGCTAGTGAGCCACCATCTGCGAGTGGCGTTTAATAAGTCGTGATTTAATTTTAATATTATCAAAATATCTACAAGACCTTTCTAAGCGCATAGTTCAAACAATTTGAAATGACTATCTCTTAATCTTTAAAATGACTATCTCTTAATAAAACTGCACTCTAAGTTTCGGAAGATCATTTTGATAATACTAATTTTTGCATTTATTTCTTCTCTGGCTTGGAACTTACCGATTTTAATTATTTATAAGTATTCCAGTGCACATTTGAGGCACTGAAACTTACCAAATTTTTCATTCAGCCATTTAATGAAGGCAATTCATTATCCTTTACCTTCATACGAATCGGTAAAAACCGCTCATAATTTACTGCAATCCACTTTATACTCGAAACTTCGGATAAGAATTCATGTATATCTACTCATTTTCAAGTGCTGAGTAACTAGCAATACCATTGCACATCACAACCCAAATGAATGAATGGAGTTAAAAATTTAGCTTTCGCTACTTATATTTTGGATTTCTTAGCTGCAGTCATTTTTTTTTCTCATTATTCTTTCTCTTTGTTCCGTTGTTTACTGACATTTCTCCCGTGTATGCTTAAGATCGCATTCAGAATTCAATTTTATGCTTCAAATGCCAATTTTCCACTTTTGAAATTTTTTTTTTCAATGAACGTTCTTAACATAGCGAAATCAGCGTCTCGGAATACATTTTCATCGTTCATTTTTCATTTCATGAAAAGTAAAATATTATATTTTATTCTTCTATGCCATAAATTCACTTTGCACAGAGTAGGACAAATTTTGGCTTTTTACCCTTTTGGGTAATAAATTAACTGACTGAACTAAACTTTGGATATTAAATAACTGAACTTTGGGTAATAAATAAACTAACTGAAACACCTATTATAAAAGTTACAGGAAAGTTATAAAGCCCAACCGGTATAGTGGTTAACGACGCTGACTGCAGTACCGAACGGCCCTGGTTTGAATCCCAAAGAAGGCGTGCATGTTTGTAAGTGAATATTGTCTGTGCGGCATGGAGGAACTCTAAATATGCGGCGAGCCGAAAGTCCTCTCGAGATGTTGGTGGTTGGGAAAGAGGCGTGGGAGACACTCGAACCCGTCTCCATGGCGTGCTCTCCATCAAAATTGAGGACGGAACAGGAAAATCGTGCTGTATGATGTTCAAGGCTCTTGCCAACGACAGGCGCAATTTTACACTCCTTCCCACATGAATTTCGTGGACTTGTTTTGATGTTACTGTCAGACAAGTGAGATAAGTCAACAACAACAATAAGAAGAAAGTTGTAATATAGTCAGAACAGACATGAGCTACAATGACGTACAGGTTTCAACTATTAAATGAAAATTTGCAAATTGTTAAAAATCACTTACTTATTTTAGAGTTACTATTAAGAAGTATCTGGCAAGTGTGTATATATATATCAAATTCAGTGCAAACAAAGTAATACAAGTCGTAATTGCTTTCTGTAGAATTGAAGATTACTTACCTTCTGGCAGCAAAGAAGCTACCAGAAGAAGTTCGTCCATTTTCATTAGCCTGGAACTAGATCCCACTCACTTAGCAATGTCATGCGACCGAAGAAAAGTACTGATAATTTCTGTCTGAAAGTGTCCTTAAATTTTCAACTGTCTAGTGCATTATCATCAACATTAAAGCCAAAGGCTGCCTTTATTTTGGGCATCCTTAAAAAATCTGGAAAGGAAAAAAGAAGGTATTAATGCAAGCAAAATGCTTACGCATTCGAAAAATACATTTGCTTTTCTTTTATCAATAATACTGAGTTATATAAACTGTAATATCAATGAAATTTTCATTTTGGGAAGGAGAACTAAACCGTTACTGTCAAGACAAGACAGTTCATATCTTGCTTTACAGTTTTATCTGTTTAATTAGGTGTTTTATAATTCAAGTTTGCCTGTTCATATTAATATTTATCTTACGCAATGGAATTTATACCCGTAACTTGATATATTTTTAGCATTCATGTTTGTTTTATCAATATGAATCGCGAGGAAGCAGAATATACGCTCTTTAGGGTGCAAGGAAAAAAATTTTTTTTTAATTATTTTTGCTTTTACATATTTTTCGAAGTTGAACGCTCTCAGAAAGTCTATCTTGAATACCGAAACTGTTGAAGTTTTCTAAAGTTTGATATTATTAAATTTAAAATATTTATAAATTAAACATTATAAAGAACCACATTAAAAAAACTTATTATAAAGCATTCACAATAGCCAGAACATCTTCTAAACCAAAACATTCTCAACTGACGAATGTTTGATTTATAATACATGAAATTCAATTAATATTTTACGAGTAAACAAAATTAATATTGTCAAATATTTAAAACTAGATTCGTCTTTCATAAATAAATACCATTAATCCTCCCTCATTTATGTTAAAAGGCTTAAAAGTTAAGGTTTTATTTTCAGTTATGTTCATATTTTAAAAGTTAACCTTTCAGTTTTATTGTAAGCAAGTACTCAAATAAAATATCTACGTCTTGATTCTGAGAACACATAAACTGAGGGATTATGTGTACCAGTTCCTGCATTTTTATTCAGTCTATTTATGCTTGATAATCAGTTTTAACTTTTGTAGTCCTGTCAGTTACAATTCTTTAAATAAACTGACCTACCACTGAATTTCACTTCGTCACTGTCCAGTTTATGAAATTTTTACTTAATTTAATAATTCAAATGATTTCCCCTCTTCAAATGATTTCCCCTCTTCATTGACAGCATCTGAAGTAGCATTTAATCTTAAATTCTTTAAAGTATGTATAAAACATGCTTTTTGTGTTCTTTTAATGTATCAAAATAGTTTCTTCCCTGGTTCTTAGTATTTCTCTTTAGGATCTTTATTATATCGTGACATGTAACAAACAGAAAAATCTGGCCTTTTGCCTTTTTCTGAGTACATTAATGAGCTTAACGCTTCTTGATATTTTATTTTTGATACTGTTGGGAAAGATGCTATATCATCAAGAATTTCACCCAATATTCCTGGAGGTAGATAAGATATTTAAGCTTAACTCTTCATTACCAGTACCTTTCTGATTGTGGTAATGCGTATAACATTTTGTTCGCAAGATATACTTTATAGGGACCCAAAATAAAACTAGGTGGTTGTTCTATGAATTCGGTTTATATAAGTGCACATACAATTTTTACATCAAAAAATTTTATTTTGTATTTTTTGAAAACTGCAGTCAATTATAATTGTGTAAAGGTTGCGATTCTCATTACCGGACTAACTCCATTTTCATAACATATTTCTTTTCTTTGGCTAAATTCGGTTGCTTGCTTTATAAATTATTTCCGAATTATTCATTTTCCTCTCTGAAGTGAATATCCAACAGCTTTTAATAACATTTTCATCCATAGGTTTTTCAACTAACTTCCAAATCCATTAGTCTCCACTGAACTCAATTCTTCTATCACTGCAATATAGCCCAAACCGACGTTTTGTAAATGCCACAACTTCATCATAAGTGTTAAGTAATTCTTCATTTATATTGCATACTACATTATCTTTTATTTTATCTGGTGACTTTATGACTCTTACTGGTACCTTCTTTACAAATTTTCATAAATACCATCTCCAAATTCTTCAGTTACGTGAGGGATTTCCTTAGTTTCTTGATCTGTTATATCATTATATTCCAAAGAATTAGAATTTTCTTTTTTCTCTGATCCTTATTTGTTATTCCTGAATTTTGTTTCACTATCATTAGTTTTTCCATTGTAGAAAATAATAAATTCTTCTGTTATTTGAGTTTTAATGAACTTCAATTAATTTCTCTTCAGTAAAGTTAATCCGAATACCTGCTCATTAAATTTTACATCTCTTACTCTTTAAATTTAGTTTAGGATATAAATTTTGTACTCTTATATCTTCATGCTGTAGTCTACACTAATTCACTAATTCCGCCCCCCCTTTTTTTTTCTTTTAGGTCCATCTTTCTGTGTTTTTCTCGCCTTATATTAATATACTCCACATCTAAATTTTTTAAGATAAGTAATATTAGGCTTACGAAACTCTATCTACTTCATTAAATGTTAACTTTACTCCTTTATGTGATTCCTGTTACTTACATAAACATCTAATTTAACGCTTTCACTCCTAGATTTTATAGGTAATTCCGCATCAGTCAACATAGTTCTAGCAGCCTCGATAATAGTAAGATTAAAGCGCGCTCAACGTTTCATTGTTCTTCAGAGTGCAAGGTGTTGTAAATTCATGATTAATACCCTTTTTTTTTTTTTTTTTTTTTTTTTTTTTTTTTTTTCAAAACGTTCTTTTATACTTTTATCTAAGAGTTCACTGCTGTTATCATTGCGATATTTTTTTTTTTTTTCGGTTTACGTTTCTCTTGAACTCTTCCTGTTTGTGTTTCTTCTTGAATTATAAGCTTTATTGAACGATTTTCCAATTTCGCTCGGCCCACCAGCGGCCGAGCGGTAAAGTCGCTGAATACTGGTAGTTCGGTCCGAGGTTCGAATCCCGCGAACGGGCTAGCTGCATGGGCGTTTTCGTGGTTTTCCCCATGTGTAACATGTATACGAGCCAGTTTCCCTTAGAAAGTCCTCCACGAAGGCATCCCTCCCCTTAGGCAGACAGCCGTAGTGTGCTTTGCCGTAATTAAATCAACCAACCATCCAATTTCACTCTTTTTCTCAATTGTAGTCATGAACACGAAGTTAATATAATCATCTACCACTATTAGAAAAAAGCCAGCTTCCATCTATTAACTTCTCAATTGGTCTAACTAAATCTATATGTCATAATTCTAAAATAGTTTCAAATTGTTTGGATTCCACACTTTGGCATTTTATCGTCATTGTCGTTTTTCCTTATGTGCAAGTGTCGAAATGGTTTTTGAAAATTTGTATGTATGTATTGTAATCCAATTCGTGATTTTTTTTTTTTATTTCTATGCTTTGATAGTATAGATAATCTAGTCTCTATCATTAACATTACCAATTTCAGCTTCTTCTTATATTATATTTCTTTTAATTTCAAATTTATTTCCACTTCTATTAACCGTACATGCAGTATCTCCATAGTTATTGATCTTTCTTATCTTTGCTTTTGGTAAACATTATTTTTAAACAGTGACCAACTCATCTACCATTATCTCTCGTTCTTCATCTTTAAAAGTGGTAAATATTTCTTTATTTATCTTTAAAAGTGGTAAATATTTCTTTATTAAACAGTTACCTACTCATCTACCATTATCTCTCGTTCTTCATCTTTAAAAGTGGTAAATATTTCTTTATTTCTTGCCATGTGAAATACAGCTCCTTAATTTGTAATCAATTTAATTTTTTATTTCATGGTTTTATTTCCTTCTCTGCATCATTTTTTTATCTTGATTAAATGATGAAGTTTCTTCTATTTTCTAAGCTCTATGTGTAAATATTAGCTGATTTCTTTTTTCTGTTTGCCATTCTAGAAGTTTTATTTGTTAAACTTCGTGTTTCTTGTGTTACTTGTTTTCTTTCTGTATTATGTTAATTTGTGACCTAATTTAAATAACATTTTAGTTTATTATTATGACATTCTCTCGTTAAATGTCCTAATTTTCCCCAGTTAAGTCATCTTCTTTCCTGATGTTCCGATTTTGTCCAGTTTTTGCTTTAGAACCTATTTCTATTTATTTTCGTCACTGTTTATTTATTTATTTTATTTTATTTTATTTATTTATTTATTTATTTATTGAGTTTCTTTTAAGGCTTGTCTAATTGCAGATATATCCTTTTCTCTATTATTTTTAATGATTTTGATATTAAAATAGAAATTCATTCTGAAGTCCATCTAGTATGAAGTAAATTAATTCTGTATCTTTTATTTCGTCCTCCACTTGAATACTTTTATTTTTCAGAATTACAGTTTTTATTCGTGTCATCATCTACAGATTCATCTTGCTTCATTTTCAATTGAAGTAATTCTATTCTACATTTTTTTAATATCTTCTGTTTTTGCCGCTATTTCATTTTTTATGTTAAAGCTTCTTTGCTTGACTTTTCTATGCGAGTCAAATTTATCATGTTAAAGGATATATTTTTATTCGTTTCTTAAAAATATTAGGAGTATTCTCTCTCTTGAAATCTCATTACCAGAGAGGACAATCACCCTCTGCTACCATAGGCTGAAGTTTTATATTTCTAAATGTCAAATACTTCTAAAATAAAAAATTTTATCAAAGAACGATATAGAACAACTTTGTAAAAAAGCATTCACCATAGCCACAAATCTTCTAAATCAAAGTATTCTAAACTGATACTAAGTCCAAGAAACTCAATCTTTTATACGTAAATAACATCAGTGTTGCCAAATACTGAAAACTAAATTGCTCTTTCATAAATAAATGTTAGCAATTACTTAGTGAAAACATACTTTTACCTTTTGCTTAATTAGCTGACTAAGATATCGTTAAATCAGACACGATATTAGATTTCCCAGATTTCCATTTTTACTTCGTATTGTGTATAATTTAAAAAATACATTAGGAATATGGATTAAAAAAGCTTCTATATTTTCAGTTTTAAGGTTCTAAATTCTGAAGCACTTCTTTTGAAGAAGAATCAAAAAGTAACAGACAGTAACTGGCCTTAGAACGTCTTACTTAGAAAAGATAAGTTACCGTGGTTTGAATCTCCTTATGAGGTAAAGGAAAGAAAATGTCG